GACCGATCCGACATGATATTTTGTGATTTTGTTTGAGTCATGGCATTGGATTGGGCAACTGCTTTTTGTCTAACCGCTATCCAAACAACCTTTCTGGCATGGTAGGACGTCAAGCGACATAAGTCTCAGCCAGTATAGCCTGTTGGGTCATTGTGGTGTTCAAGCCTGACTGCCACGTCAAGGTAGCAGCTTTCGGTCGGGACTGGAGCTCCAAGGTTGTACTCTGTAAGATTTCAGCGGTTAATGTTGTAATTGCTTGGTGGCGATGAATTTTAGCTTTATATGAAGCCGTTAACAATGGTCGAAAACCAAGTTTGCCAGAAGGGACACAATCTAGTATCCTTACACATGTAATTTAATTTAATGCACCATATATTTGGTCTGCTATGTAGTCAGTAGTATCCAGATTTTAGGATCCTATTCTGTGAGCGTAGTCATCTGGCGTAGTGCAATAAAATTCGCTGTTATTGAAAATAATTCCCTTAGGTTGAAATCTCTAACTCAGTTGTCAATCAGACGAGAATTTGAATGATGGATAATGAGGTTGCTAAAGACCGAGATTAGGTTGGTATGAATTTTTTTTGCCTGAATGTTCCATTGCAGAACAATACACTATTTGTACTGCTAGTGAACGGGTTGTATCAGATCAAAGAAATCATCCGATTGGGATGAATTTTCGGGACGTGCAGATGCATCATCATACTACATAAATTTCATGCCGGTAGTTAGTCATGCTCCTTTATTTGCTAGTGTGAATATTCTCACAGCAAACAAGTGATGTTTACGAATCTATTTGATGCGTTTACTCCAGTAATTCGTCAGACTGGAAGCTGGTGTAATCATCAGTAATAACGCAGATTATTAGACGTAAGAATTTCAAGCAATCTCCAAATAGTTGATGGTCTACTTATATACTACTTAATAGTAATATATGTCAGTAATGGTAAAAATAAAAGTGATCATAATGCTAATCAATTTAAGGACGTTTGCCGTTGTCAGTGAGTGTTCAATAGAAAACGACTAGAATTATTTAACTGGTTATAACCCTATTTATTTCTTTGAATAATTGTTTATGCATGATGATGTGTGTTTACTGAATTCGATAAATAATATTTCCAGTAAAGTGTAATGAAATAATAAAGAAGATTGGGAGTTCAGGAGGATGATTTGAGATTATTTGTGTTCTCTGAGCTGGCTGATTTGATTGGGAAGCTTTCATCGTCCCCATTCTGAACAACATCTTCGACGCAAGTTTGAGCATAAATTTAAATTCTCGATGAATGATAGAATTGCGTCTCCTGGTTACCATCTTCATGACTGGTAGTCGATTTACATCTGTACTGATAATTTTTTTTGACTTGGATTTTTAACTTTCTCGTCACATGATTTACTTTTTATTAGTTGATATATTAACATGTTAACATGTTTGTTAATCGCTGGCTGATTCGTTTGAGTAGCAGGCTTCTAGGAATTCTCTGGCACTTTTGGTGTTTCCTCTGTTCAACATATCAGCGTTATCCCAATCATCAAATCGGTGTACATAATTATCTACATGAATTGATATGAAAGAATATGTATTATGTCTTTTCACAGCTAATTTGTGTTCCTGGATTCTGATTCAAAGGGGACGCCCACTTTGACCGATGTAATAAATGCTACAGTTCAATTTACAATTTATTTTGTAATTGGTTTTAATTTTATCCTCTTTTTCTGTTGTATGTTTCTCTCTCCACAATATCGAATGAAGTGATTGCGGTAATGTCAAAATTTTAAATAGAGGAAACACCAAAATTACTGCCAGAGAAACCTGGCACTCAAGCGAATCAACGATTAACAAACACATTATTATAGACCAAATTTACCAACTAATAAGAAGTAAATCATGTGACGAGAAAGTTCACATTCCAAGTCAATAATAAAAATGATCACTACAGATGTAAATCGACTACCAATCACGAGGAGGGTTGCCAGGAGACACAATTCTATCATTCATGGAGAATTTAAATGAGTTCATTTTATGCTAAAACTTGCGCTGAAGATGTTGTCCACACGGACGACAAAAGCTTCTCAATTAAATCAACCAGCTCAGAGAACACAACTAACTCCAAAGTGTGAATGTCTGAAATTACACACCAATTGCTTGCATCTAAGTAATCATAGAAATTTATTTTACGCCGATGAGAGGGATGTTGTCTTATGTTGACAAGTGATCATAGTCATCGTCTTTGTTGAGCGTGTTTTCCCTTGATGAAAACTGCGGAGTAACTTATGAATATGTGTAGATTTTCTCAATGGTCTTTCTTTCCGACTGTCCCTTGTTGAACTCTGAAGAACAAATTTAAATGGCACATTTAGTATACTAGATCTTTGAGATGCAAGTTAGGAAGTTGTATGCATAATTTCATCTGATTATAAGGAGAAATTTATACTCCGAAGATAATCTATATTGTACTATGTATGTTATTTTAAATAATGTTCATCGATATTAATGCTCAAGTCCTAATCTCAAAATTTATTGACAAGGCGAACACCAAATAAACACTGTCTTCGGGTCATAGTGTCAGTTGAGTTATTGAACCAACTTTGAGGGAAGAATTCCTCACTGCCGATATCAAGATCTGTATTGATGTTTATCACTTTGTCAAACTGTGATATGTATAATCTTAAAATCATGGTCAGGGTTGACAGAGTGACAGAAGTCGATCAGGTGTTCCAAAATAGAGCTTCGCACACACTTCCTTTCTCCCTTGTAAAACCATGCTGGAATATGTTCTCGTATCCGTGTGGAAAACGGCGTTCTCTGGCTACGGCCAATGTACCTTGCTCCACAAGAGCTCCACAGGTGAACTGATAGATGCACATGGAGGCGGCCAGATGGGGGAGCTTATATACAGAATCCATGCTAACTTCCCGCGTTTTCTTCGATACAGACTTCTAAAGACAGTCGAAGCCTTGGGAATTCATGACTTTAAGCCAAACCTCTGTGCACAAAGGAAGTATGTACAATCCTTACTTCTGACTTGGCCGTAGAGGGATTTATTTATTTTATTTAGTTATTCTATGTACCTTTCCCTTATTACTACGATTATTATTATTATTACCATTATTATTATTATTACTATTCTCACTCTGAATCTTTTTCACTTGACCAACTTGACATTTTAAACCCAAAATTATTAATTTTTATATTTTTATTTTTACAATATTGAATTCTATCTTATCAAATTTCACACCATGTTATGTAACATTTTATATTCGTCTACTAATCTTATAATTACGTACCGCTTTCCAAAATCTATACACCTTATGTATTATTCTATATATGACATTAATTATTTTGCAACTTGACATTTAACTATGATTATAATCACAAATATTTTAATTGCATTTCATACTATTATTATTTCATGTATTCACACTTTTGACCTAATTCCCTCACCGGATATAATTTCTTAATAAAAAACCCATATATATATATATGTACGATTGTATAGTTTGATAATAAATTCGTTGAAAAGAGTCTCTTCGCTGAATATTGTGTTCTTAATGCTACTATGAGAATTATTAAATTATTAAACTGTGATATGTCTATTATTGTTCTGATGACTCCATATAAACGTTTTAAAAGCTCAGCACTCTTTTATCACGATTCAGTATCCGTTACACTGTACTTACATTTAAAATTCTTCTTACCTTGTTCACGAGTTTCTAATTAGACTTTGCAAATAATAAACTCTAGTTCATTTCACTCCAGAAAGCCAATCGGTGGTTAATTATCTTGAGCATCTTGAATCTGTGATAGATTGCTTACTAGAAGGTATGCAGTTGCTTCGTTTGACTAATATTTCCAATGGTGGGCTCTAAATTTCTTAGAAAATGAATGTTACACTTAGCAGTTTTAAGATAAATGCCCCTAAGTTCTAATGCGAAGTCGTAGCTACTTCGTGGGTGTTTCATTTCACTCTAAACCTTTTTAATGCTGACTGACAGAAATTAGAAGATGAGGATCACTGAATTCTCAGTGCCTCATTGACTGAATAATCGACTGACTGGTCATATAACTTGAAGGTTTTAGGTTCCATCCCATGTGGGTGTGAGGCATGGTTGAGTATTGCCTACTGAATAGTTCCAAACATGGGCAAAACAACTGCCTAGTGTAATTCCATTATGGGTAAATTTCATTTTGATAAAGTCTCACAGTGTTATACAGTAATATTTACTGATGACGTTTCGAGCACAATTTATTGGTCATAATCATATCAAGATAATCACACGACTTCCTAAATTCATTTATATACTTCCGTTGTTTTTCACTTGATTTTCACTTGATTTGATTGGTAGTAATATTTTCCATATTTCGGGTATGAGTGATGAATCATTCCTATTGCATGTGTTGGGTGTAGATTCGATGAACAAAGATTCAGTAATCAACCTCTCTCGCTCTCCACCTACCTAGATTACTTTTTAGAATTTTAACCCTCTCCTACCCTATTGTGTGGTTGTGTGTTATTGCATGCATCGCAGTTGCTGCGCTTTTTTCTAAATTACTTATCTTCTCTGGGTCAACCATTCTTACCTTAGCTAAATTCTTATGTTCTGACAATCTGACTACCCCTGACCTACTAGTTTGACCTATGTAGTTGACCTAACTCACAGTCATTGCAGGGTATTTTGTAAATTATATTATTTTGTTTAATTGGGTCCACTGGGTCCTTTAACCTACAGAGCTTGTCCCTGAGTGAGTTTGTAGGTTTAAATGCCACTCTAATTCCTGCTTTATTTAGAATCCTACGTAGGGTCTCAGATGTCCCCTCTTTATATGGTATAACTGTAGATGACTTATATTCTCTCTTGTTTATATTATTATTACTAGTTTCACAATTCTTTTTATTTTCAAGCAAAATATCAGTAGATTATGTCTCAGAGAAGAATTACATCGAGTTACCGTGAAACTTAATAATATACGAAATGAAATTGAAAAACTCAAACACAAACCGTCACGGTTTTACTCTTGTGAATTATTGCATGGGTCAAGCGGATATGATATCACTCTCACAAAAGGTAGCCCTAATAACAGGAGCAAGTTCAGGAATTGGAAGGGCAACTGCAGTTTTGTTTGCAGAACTGGGAGCATGCATTGCTTTGGTTGCTCGAGATAAAACAAGATTGGAGGAGACTCAGCAAGCATGCATTAAAGCAGCTCAAAAAGAAGTTTATGCAAAGCACAAAGAGCCTTTTTTGTGCGTTGAATCTGATTTAACCGATTCAAAGGAAACGGAAAAAGCTTACCGTTTGGTGATTAACCACTTTCATCAACTTGATATACTGGTAAATAATGCTGGATGCATGATACGAGATACAGCAGAAACATTCAATGTGGATGAATTTGATCATTTAATGAAAGTCAATTTAACTGCTGCAATTTCTTTAACTCAAAATGAAATTTACCCATAATGGAATTACACTCTACCACAGTGCACAAGTTTTATTCTTATATCAACTGCCTAGTATTCCTTTGCTTTCAGGGATGTCAGTTCGTTAGTAAAAGCTTGAATAAGACACATAAGAGTCACACTAATTAATTAATTAATTAATTCAATGTATTGTAATTATCACAATTATCACCGACCAACAAATTTATATATGTATATATATAGTTGTGCGTGTGTCAGACAACGAAGCCAAAAATAGAACAAACGAAACATAAGATTACAAATAATCAATAATAATATAATAGTCATCGAAAGCACAAAAAAACAACTGAATATCACTCAACAATGAACACTGAATATGACAGAATATATATATACGTGACTGAAAACTTGAACACGCGCTTTCATGTAATATCACAAAAAATAAAATAACAAAAACCATGGACAAAAATAAACAACAAAAGAAAAAACGCCGTGCAACAAGGACAAATGTGAGTTCACTGTGTTCACTGTCGAAAGCGCGTATAACTTCAAGTGATGATGACAGTGCTTATAAAAAAGGAATGTTTAGTTAGTTAGAGTGAAGCAGTTTAATTGGCAATTTAAGTAAAACAGCAGATTTACCAAACAGAAGCGATGTGAATCTCTTGCAAGGATGTGTCGTATAATGATAATAATAAAAAAGGGATAATTCATTCTGTGGTCAGACGACCAGAGGATGACAGCGAATTGAGAGAACTGGGGAACATAACGAACCAAAAAACATGCACACAGAAAAAAAGAAAGCAGGAACATACTGACTGGATACAGGAAGACAAGGACAAATAGTATAGGTCAACTGTATTTGTGTGTGTATGTGTGATAGAGAGACAAGAGAGAACAGAATCTTTGATCCTCTTAAATGACTCAGCTGTTATTATTATTATTACTTCTTTGGCGAATTCGCTGTAGTTTCTTCAGTTGCTGGCTTTTCAGCACTTTCAGTTTTCTCTTCTTCAGGCTAAAGGTAGAAAGATAAGGTAGAAACATCACATGATTAGCAGAATGAAAATCGTTCAGATTTAAACACTTGTGAAACCACCAAGTTTTAATTGGGAAGTTAATATTTTTGAGGTTTAGAATAATCTAAACGAACAAAGTCGTTATTCAATTTTTTGAAGTGATTCACTAAATTCCCACCACATTCTCTTGGTACTATTCCCTTAGATTCCGAATCGACACAGCAAATTTCAATTTCCGCCTATCACCCTAAGATTGCTCCATGATTGCTATATGAGGCGATGCCTAACTTAATGTCTACCATTCAGGTTTCACCAAATGCTCTAAATGACACATGACAGCACTCAAAGTTCACCATCTTTATTTTCCTCCGAATATTTGTTGGGCTACAGATACTTTGTCAATTCACAGCTTGGAAGACTTCCTTGATGTTTCTTTTTTTCTGATGACCAGACGTATAATCTGCAGTATGAAGTGAAAGCAGTCGTTATTAGAAGTCTACAGTAGACTTTGAGAAATTCCTCCTGTGACGCTTGCATCAAGTGTTCGAATCATATAGAAGCAGTACTGTAGTTGAAAATATCAGTCTTGTTCTTTATCCAGAGCGAAACAGATTTCCATATTGATTTTCAGATTAATAAAGGTGTGTCTTGCTCTTCCGAATTTCATTGGCTTTTAAATCCTCATCTGTGCCATTGTCGGCAGTTGAATCGTAACTACTTAGATAACTGACTTCTCCTATTGATAGTCACTATCACAATGACTTTAGTTTATTTGAGACTACAATGGTCAACAACAAAATTGACACTAGAAACTAGGATGATACCAAGGAATCATTACAAAATATTTTGGCTCATAGTCGTTGAAACATTCTAGCACAAACTGTATCTGTGTTTTGCTTAACGTGGAATGTTCATAAAAATAACTGATACAGCTTTGATGCAATAAGCAGAAAGCCAAAGCTAATCCAGCCTATTCTTACAAGAATATGTGTCATTCGCACAGAAGATAGATTAAACAAAGAAGTGGAATGCTTTGAAAACACTCCTATTCAAAGTTGCTATCCATCGGCACCTCATCGGTGGCACAGCGGTAGAATACCTGCCACCCACGCCCCATGTAGTCCAGAGTTCGGTCCCCAGCCACCGACGCATTCATTCACCTCTCTTAGCCAGTAATAAGACTAGTGAAGAGAAAAGGTTGGACATCAAGCTGGCAACCCCATCCCGTAGAAATAAACACCACTGCTACTGAAACTTCAAGCCTCCAGCTTGTAGCTCTATGTTCCACTGGGAAAGTAAACTAAGAAAAATAATTCACCGACATTCACCAGTAAATATATGGAAGCTAGGATTCACAGTCTGAAAAAGACTGATCAATCAAACAGAAATTTAGTTGAAAAGTGACTCAGTCAGTGAAATTCTTCATAGCAGATTATCTAGAACAGTTCAGAAAACAAATTTCCCCTTCATGTCTGCGTCTCACCTGCTCCATTTATCCTCAAGTTCATGAAAATATCACAGAAAATGTTGCACTGTTAGCAGTATTTGTATGTGTGTATTAATTTCACTTACGCCTGTAGAGCTGAAAAATTAGTCTGCACAAGTTGGATGTTGTCCAGACGCTCACAAAGACATCTCCCTGTATGACAGTCGAAAGATGAAATTAGATGGACCAACAGCTAAATTCCTGAATACCTCATCAATAAAGAAATCTATCACAATGGTATATAAGCTAAGGGCAAGTTTTCAATGTAATTGTAGAACTTGGGCACTGTGGTAGAATGTAATTCCATATCAGATAAGTTTATTTTAAATATCATACGGTGATGATGCAGTATTAACAACTGGATGGCGTTTCGAACATAAATGATTGCTGCTCATAATTATATCAATTTGATATTGAACTGAACTCTCCCTACCTTGTCTGATTGTTGTATAAATAGTTACGCCTATACTTTCTCTCTGCAGCTGGAAGTCATTGTAGAAAGTATGTTAAGAATTGTCTAACTTATAATTGATTTTGTTCAGGATGTACGTAGAAGAAGAGAATTCACGAGACGAAACGGGCTCGTATTATCCTGCCTGAAAATGTGCTCATTTCCTCTTTATTCAAACAAAAAGTGAACCGGTAGTATAAAATTGACAATATAATTTACAATGGTTTCCTTTGCAAAGCAAAATTATTCACTTTAAATACTTTGCGATTTCCTTGAAATCATTATTTGCAAACCATAAAATCTTTTGGAAGGTATATTGCGACAAGTGTGAAAAAGATTAGATTGGTCGAAATAGACATCTTCACAACCTTCGTATTCACAAACATAAAAATAGTTGTCAAAAGGCGTATTATTTATTCAGTGATATCAGTGCATTCAGACAACTACAGACACACATCCTAAGGAATTTCTAGAAGCCTGGTAATCAAATGAATCTGCAGTCAACAGATATTCTGACATCCAGCAAGTGCATTAATCTTCAAAACAGAAAGTTATGTAGACAAAATGTCAATTATCAGGTTATCGGAGCTGTAAATGAACGTGAACATTGAACATTGGTTCATTGGCCTTGGTCGCCATTGGCGGGCAACTCGAAGGAGTGGATGATTCAGTCGTGTACAAATTGGGAGAAGAAGACGAAGGAATACGAATAAAAAAGTACAGTACATTCCTCGTAAAACATTTGTTTATAGACTTTGTACAGAGTATTGATTTTAACTGTCGGAGAATACAATCTGTTGTAATTCATTGTGTTTTGGAGTTAAAGTCGATCTTGTACTCAGTATAATTGTCGATTCGGAGCGTCTTCGGAAATAACAGGAACTTAGGGTTAAGTTCCTTGACAGGAGGTGATCAGTTCAAACAGAATAAAGGTTGAATTAACCTTCAGAAACAACCAGTTACATTCAAAGATAACAGGCAAGATAACTGATAAACTCGTGGAAAAATTTAAAATCCCGCCTTCATAATGAGGTCTGAACTGATGATGGTGTCTACAAGAAGGGCAATGAAAGCATTGTAATTTTTACCACTCAACCTAGAGAACACAACTACACTTAAAAATGAAATCAGACGAAATATCTTGACGGTATATACTACTGACTGGTTAATATGAGTAGTCTGAATCCAATTCCACCTGTCAGTAATAGCTGCTGAACAGATTAACTTTGAATTAAACACCAGACAACCGTTTCTATTGGTAACACTAATTAAAACAAACTAGTGAATTTGGGTAAAGACACACACACACAGAGAATTGTTGAACACGTTTACAAACAGAAGTAAGACAAAATAAAAACATTTGGAGAAATTGTTTTGATGAAGGATCAAAAAAACTCACTTTCACTTCTTTCATCTTTGGAATCAGTACAACTTTTCCAATATTTTTTCTTTCTTGTAAACGCATCATTGCCTCTTTAGTCTAGGGATTATGAAAAACAAAATCAAATGCACATCATATATATATGGGGAGATTAGATTAGATAATAAAAAATGCATAAGGTTATGTATCATATGAATTAATATGTACTATTATTAGACATAAAAGGCGGCAGAGAATTATACCAAAAAGGTGATATTTTCTAAAAAATATCACAGAGTATATTGACCATAAATATCTATTATATTTAAAACAATTAGTCCCTTTTATAAATTTTGATAGCGTTATTGGAAGACGGAGATTATCTGAAAAACAATGTGTGATGTATTTGCCCTATACATTTCGAACAATCTGATCACACATTTACTTGTCAAGTCGATATATACAGAAAAGTTAAATTAAACAAAGTGACAAAAAAGAATTAATTTCTAAATTGCCTTTCTATAAGAGACATGTAGATGATATCATTTTGATATGCGACGATCATGAAGATGCGAGTAGTCTATTAGACAGACTTAACTCTGTACACAATCATATTAATCTTTAACGCGAGGAAGAAAGTCGCAACCAGCTTGCATTTTTAGACATACTTCTGAGTCGAAGAGATGATGGCTCAATAAGACGGTCTATCTACAGAAAGCCCACTTGGACAGGGCAGTACCTTAATTTTCACAGCTTCTGTCCATTTCAGTATAAGAGAGGCCTGGTGAAGTGTCTATTTAAGAGGATTCAGAGTATTTGCACGGCTGATGTTATAGACAAAGAAGACGAAATATTGATGGATGCTCTTGCTGAAAACGGATAACCTTTGAAATTTTTAAACAGGTGTAGAAGTCAACTAGCCTCTAAACCTACAATTCTTACTGTCCCTAAGAAAAACGTTTTCATCAAATTACCATATAACGGGGAAATAAAAAGTAGGATTTTGAGACAAAGGTTGAATTCGGTCATCCGCAGAACCTATTTTGCAGCCAGGCTTGCAATTGTGGAAAAAGCTAAAAATATGCTTCACTGCAAACCTCAAAAGTGCACAAGTGATTATATCACATCCCACACAATTTACCAATTTTCGTGTGTGTGGACATACATACATAGGGAGGAGTATTCGCGCTTTGCACGTTAGGGTGGGAGAGCATATCCCAAAATGGTTAGAAAAAACAAATGAATTGTGACAAGCCAATAGATGCAGGTGTCAGACTACCAACCTCGTCTATAGCTAAACATCTAATCGAGATGAACCATAAGATTGATGTTAACTCAGCCTTTAAGGTCATCTATAAAACCGGTCAAGGGCGTTTACTGAAATACGCTGAGGCTATAGCCATTCATAAACCTAAGCCCCCCCCACCCTGTGTATTCAAAAACAGTTTATCATTACTCTTAACCTACCTTGGTAATCCTTATTTGATTGGATTATCAAACGTTTGTGTTAATTATTCTTAAATCCTTTTTTGTCACTTTGTTTAATTTAACTTTTCCATGTACATTGACTTGACAAGTAAATGTGTGATCAGATTGTTCGAAATGTATAGCGCAAATATATCACATTTTTCAGATAATCTCCGTCTTCTAATAACGCTATCAAAATATCTATTATATACTAAGTGGTATCATACATTTTGGTGTATACCCTATCTAGAACACTGAGTATGAGTGATATTGTATCGGTGGTTCAATGGTATGATGTTCTCCAGGCCCTCTAGAAGTCTGGATTCTGTCCTCGGGCGACACATTTCTAAACATGGTATACTTAACTAGCCCCAGGAAAATTGGAAGTATAGACTTGAGGCTGACAGCTTCATCAGGTAAAATAACAACTCCACGACTACTCATAGCCCACAGAATGGACCAGTGAGTCACCTGTCAACCCAAACAAGCCCAACGTTAATCAGACCTGATCAGTTTGACTACAGCAGACAGACAGCAGTGCCGGTCGTGGTGAACACCCTGAGATAGTGCACTGACAAGGAGACTCATGCACCCTCCAATGCATGTGGCACATGATAAGCGCACCACATAGATCCACAAGAAGCAGGCACCCACAGTTAAGCAGACACCGAAAGGCGGTCCGTATGCCCAAGTACAAATCATGCTCATCAGCTGAATTCTCAAGGATCGCAGTTCAACTCCACCTGTTTACCTCTGAGCGGTTTCACACACTGTTTACTCTCTCTACAAAGTACTTTTCAAGTTTTCCTCACGGTACTTGTTTACTATCGGATTCGTACAGGTATTAAGCCTTGGATGGAGTTTACCACCCACTTTCCGCTGCATTCTCAAACAATCCGACTCCAAGGTTAGCTCTGGACAAAACTGTCATGCTTGATCTCCACCTACACGGGCCTTTCACCCTCTTAGGGCCAGAACGGTATGGAAGTCTTGTGGTCCACTAGGAAGACAACGTATGAAAACAGAACCGTTCTGTTCATTTTCTCACCATCCATATACGTTAAGAGAAAAGTAGCATAGCTGGTCTATAGATATATCGTTACAATTCAGGCTGATAAGACTTATTTTAAGGACTGGAGTTTCCGTCCCACCTCTCTCCTACCACTCTTTAAACGCAAAAGGGACGAGAAAAGTTTTGAAAAATTATTCTGTGGTGAGACATCAGTTTTTGATAAAAAGCATTTTGAATACATGAATAATTCCGGTCCAGACATTAATGAAAATAAAACACGCTGTTCAGCGAATTCATTCACTTAGCTGTACAATCCCAATTAGATATACCTATTTTTGTATGTGCGTGTGTACACTAGGTTTGTCCGATATGAATAAAAGAAAAAGTTAGGGTTATTGTTGTCATGACATTTAAAAATGTGATGAGTATTCAAATTGTAACTAGGAGGGGGGGTGAAGATTGGTTAGAGGGTATTTTGAAAAGACGATATCACAAACCTCACAATTATCATTATTCAACTTACAAAGAGAATTGTATCAACACCCACTTAATCAAATGGTCAAAATTATCGTGAATATAAAATATGTTGTCACTTTATCACGATAAATTTCAACAGAAGGTAGGCATTGACAATCCAAGCTATTCATTTCTACTCACCATTGTAATGTGAGGCTACTCATGACATACGACAGTGTGTGAATGTGTGTATGTGTTTTTCTATGTGAGAAGTAAAATTAATATTTGCTTAAATTACGGTTCATACTTCACTCTTTCTATCACTTTTCTTTGCTCAACATAATTTTCTTCATAAATACAACACTTGTCATCGGACCATACAGGAAACCAAATTTTGCGATTGTCTACAATTTGTGTGTTTTATATTGTATAACTTCCACTAACTATTAAACGAGCTCACTTATGGAAAGGTGTTCGTAATTGTACCGATTCAACATTCAACTAATTCAGTAACCACCACTTGATTACAGTTAATACCTCACTCTTTCTATCTTTTTTCTTTGCCTAACATAATTTCCCTAATAAATGCAACACTTACCGTCGGAGCTTAGAATAGATCAAATTTTGCTATTGTGTAGAATTTGTGTGTTTTATATTGTATAACTATAACGAACTGTTAAACAAGCTCAGTTATGGAGACGCGTTAGTAGTCCTACCGATTCAGTATTCAATTGCTTCAGTAACCAAATGTTTGATGATGGTTTTCAGTTGAATTTAGGGAACCTGTTTTGCCCAATTCACGACTCATAAATTATGCATCTTCTCGAAAATAACTAATGATATTCCTGCTAGACCCAATATTCATCTTTTCTAATACTAAAGCATTGTCTGCTAGACCGATATTCTTCAAGAGCCTCCTCTTGCATCGTAAGGATCGGCTGTTATTTGATGAAATTACTATTTTTGAATTTTTAAAAGAATGGATACTGAACAAAGAGTTCTCTTTTCGATAACGTTATCATCAGGCTCTACAGTTATATAAACATTATAGTGAATGAATGAATTAGTGTTATGAACAACATTAATACTGTTTAAATAACATCGAATCAATAATATTGATAGATTACAGCTCAATAGCATCAACATAAAATAAGCTGAATGTCAGAAAAAACATTAGGAAAGATAATATTACAAATTCATGAATTTATAGTCTCTACTGAAGGCCAGTCACGGCTGGACTTGCTTCTTTTGAACAGAGAGTACTGGTTGTTTGAGGCGAATTGCAATAGCCTCTGCTGTTTGGAGCATGCGGTGCTTCGATGATTTTGGTAATTTTTTAGGCACCCGGTAGATTATAGAGAAGGATTCTTCTACGCTGGCTTTGTGACCGGTTTGCACCAGATGGTCCAATGTCGAACTGTTAATGGTTTTCACTACACCTTTACTTAGCCCCTTAGTGGGAGACGTTCTCGAGCACAAAAAATCAAGTTCCTAGAGCAACGGCCAATTTGACTCGCTCCACAAGCTCAGTTAAACTTTTTAGATGCAATCTAAAGTGGCTATTCTAGGTACTTCATCTTTCAGTCGAGGTAGCACCATTGGTCGTGTAGAGAATAATACGTGTAGTTCTCCAGCACAGATCGATATCTGTAGGACGGAAGTCATCTGGTGTTTGAAATGTTGGGCAATGAGTAGAATTCTGAGCGTAAGAACCATCAATCTGTAGGGCTTAGATACATCCAGCTGACAAACATTAAAATAGTCAGACGAGTGTTTAGGGATTCCGCTTCTAGCCACCATCTACCACACATCACTTTGTCCACCGTATTATGTACAGACAGGTTAACAGAGGTGGAGTATTCTGTTCCAAAAAATCAATAAGAGGGTAAATTAAACATTTTTGAAGCTATCAGATGAAATTCAGTGAACGGATATGAAGCGCATTGATTCAACAATAGCTTCTTTTTCATCCTTAATCACCAGTCCACCTATTCAACTATGACATATAATGAGTAGTTTTTGTGCAATTCAATTTTAAACGCAGCTCATAAAATGAATGGTCTGTGCAAAGGTTGGAGGAAATCAACAGGAAGTCCTGGATATACGTTTCTTCCCTGTTGATACTTGCCACTGAGGCGTATCTACAACTTTGAAAGAGTATAAGTAGCCACTGAGATTCTAACCA